GCCCCCACCTCGCCCCCCACCCTCGCCTCCCTCGCACCCCCCCCCCTCCCTCCTCTTATTTCTTCTATATGCCTCTCTCTCTCTCTCTCTCTCTCTCTCTCTCTCTCTCTCTGTGCTAAGATAGATGGGGAGCAGTTGTTGAGGAGTTTTTTTTAATTTTGAGTGGTGGTGGTTTGGGTGTGCTGAGTAATTCCATGGAGGGTTAGGTTTGAGGTTGGGTATGGCGAGGGGAGGGGAGAGAAGAGAGAGGCATAGAGGAGAGAGAAGAGGGAGGAGGGGGAGGTGCGATGGAGGTTGGGTCCGAGAGGGGAGAGAAGAGAGAGGCAGAGGGAGAGAGAGAAGATAAGGAGTTAAAATTACTAGAATGCCCATGCCACGTCAGCACATTTAACAGTTTTGTGGATGGAAATGGACGGAAGTGGTAAAGTGAGATAATTTCAGCAATTTTTAGAGATTCAAAGGGTTAAGTAAGAAAATTTCAGTTTAAGGGGGTAAAGTGAGACCGAGCATCCGTTTCAGGAAGTGAAACAGTAAATAAGCGTAAAAAATATATATTTAATGCTTTTCAATCTCTCTTGTTAAAGTGCCTTATTTACTGACACGCTTATAACATCAGGCTGACAATTTGCGGCAACAAACACTGCAACAAATGCATCGTATATTGACCACCCGCCAGTCAGCTCGTGCCCTTTTGGCTATAAACGATTATTTCTCGCGGCTACGGGCTCTTAGTTCGCTCTGGCTTGCCCGTCCAAGAGAGTGAAATGCTTTTGCAGTTGCTCCCAAACTGATTGGTAAAACTGTGGTCTGCAAAGCATCTGAATAGTAATTGACTTTCTCTAGTACAGCACTGGTATTACTTGGACATGGTTACAGAATTTTCTTCTATAGATTTTTTTAAAAACTTTTTCGGATGCCGTAGCCGCATAAATTGTATCGTTAGTGCTAATCCTGTAATTTTTTTACCTTCATTGTAGTCATTATAAGACGCAGTAGTGCCATTGGTAATGATCCACATGTATTTGGCTTATTGTTAATAATAGTTATGATTGTTGATGTAATTCTGACTAAATTTTGAAATGAATTTTGGATAATGAAATGCATGATGGCTTTGACTTTTATTAATCAAATTTTCACATCGAGCAATGTTTGGTACTCAAGTTCTATCCTATTTACAGCAGTTGATTTCAGAGAGATATACGTACTATGAAAGAAAGGTTTGCCAACTTACCCTGATTCTTGAGCCATTCTTCTTGCCATGCTAGCTCTTTGGCAACAAGAACTAACCAACCATTTGCTTCATGGTCAGCCATTTTCACTTTGCAAAATCTTACTCCTATGCTACAAATCCAAGTCTCTCGGCAAAACAAGAAAAGGAAAAATAATTAACCTGAACAGCTTATCAGGTGAATTATTGTTTTAATGTATGTTGATATACCATATATTTGTTTCGTCATATATTTGGTAAGAGAAATATGCATACAACATAAGAATTAGTTGGTTTATCGCATCATAACTTTTTATGGTGTGTTTACTAATTAGAATTCTCATTAGGAATTGAATTCCACATATAGAGGATCCCTGCGTTTACTTCACACAAAGGAGTTGAAAAGTAAGTGAGGCTCACATAAAATTAGGAATTGAATCCAGAATCTAATTCTCTTCAATTCAATTCCTTCTCAATTAAATTCATCATCAATTAAATTCCTCCTAATCCAATTACGGATTAGTAAACATGTCATTAATGAGAAATGTGATCATGTGGTATTGTCAATCTATTTATATTTAGGGATATTCATTGAAATGTCACCTAAACTTATACCTTAGTTTCAATTTGTCATCTAAAAAAAAAATTTAAGTGAAATGTCACCTGAATTTTCAAAATCCATAATTTGTCACCTCACTTTAACATCATCCAATTTTCCAACTATTTTCTAGGGTATTTTAGTCTTTTTATTTTCAAGAGTATTTTAAAAAAGGAAAAATCATTACAAAAAAATTATGAAAAGACCCTTGAAAATTATAAAAATTATATATCTTTCCACATTTAATCCCTATCCATTTTTACATTTAAGCTTTATTTTTTTAATAATAATTTTTTCCATTTTTAAAATATCCTTGAAAATGAAAAGACTAAAATACCCTTGAAAATAGATGGAAAATCAGATGATGTTAAACTCAGGTGACAAATCATGGATTTTGAAAAATTCAGATGACATTTCACTTAAATTATTTTTTCAGGTGACAAATTGAAACTAAGGTATAAGTTCAGGTGACATTTCAACAAATATCCCTTATATTTATGTTCAGATCCCCCTCTTCCAATATTGCTTATATAAAAGAAAAAAAAATCTATTTATATATACAAAGTCTACATTCATAGATCATCTTTACAAAAAATTAGACATTGGAAATCGTTTAGACATCAAATTATGTTCTACAAAATCAATGAACAAGGTGCTTCAAGAAAGTACTAAAATTTCAATAACTCAGTTGGGTGGTCAAATGATATCGATTCAAGTGATTTTTTTTATAGGGATTATCTTTGAATGATTATCTAAAGAATAGACTGTTTGGATTAGTGAAATACAATGCAGAGTGAGTCCTAGAAGGGTGTCTATCAAATAAGCTTATTTGAGGGACCCCTTGTAGGCCCCACTCTGGATTGTATTTCACTAATCCAAACCGTCTATTTTGTAGATACTCATTCAAAGATCATCTCTACAAAAAATTACTTGAATCCGATATCATTTGACCACTCATTTGAGTTATTGAAATTTTAGTACTTTATTGAAGCACCGTGTTCATTGATTTTGTAAGACAATTGGATGTCGAAATGGTTTCCGATTTGTCTAATTTTTTGTAAGGATGATCTATGAATGAAGACCTAAAAAATAGATGGTTTGGATCATTGGGAAAAAAATTGTAGAGTGCCCTAAGGGCGTCCCTCAATAGGGACTGTATATATATATATATATATATTTTAGTTGAGAAATTCTAAGATTGCATTCATAATTCAGCCAAAAAACCCAGTATGCACAAAAAGGCCAATATAAACTAGCCACAAAGAGTCATTACAATAACGCAACATTCTAATATCAAAATTATAACAATCTGGTACGCCTCCATTAACTATCACACATAATCGAAGAAACTCTGGTATAGACGTTCCAACTAAGATTGTAAACTCAGAATAATCAAAAAGAGATAAAGGTTGAAAAAACCAAGCCATAATAATACAAGTAAAGCTCTCACAAATGAGAGATGAAAAGTTCACACAAAAGAAGGATGAAAAGCTCTTACAAAGAAAATGTGAAAAGCTCTCACAAAAGGAGAGGTGAAAACTACATAGAGTACCCAAAGAGTCTCTGTGACTTATTCCAAACATAAAGAAACCGCCAAAAGGATGGTGGTGGAGATACGATGCCGAAATGTAGGTGGATATTCAACGTTGAGATGCACCCGACTGTGATGGTTGGAGGAAAATCATAACAAAATGAAGACAAATAGGGAAAACATTTTGTCTCTGAAAATGAGGAGTGAAGAAAGGGGGGAAGTGAATAAGAGAGAGGGGAGGAAGAACAGTGACTTCCTTGTAAAGATATCAATGGTCCTAGTGATGCCACATGTCAGAAGATTAAATAATAAACCTGTTGAGATATTGTTACATCTATTAGGCAGTTAGGAAAACTGTTAGTATTGATAAGAGAAGGTTAGAGAAGTTAGAACATGTGAACAAGGCTCTCTCTCAACTTTATTTCTTTTCTCTTTGCTCTATATTTCTTTTCAATCTTCCTATCTTAACATTTCCTCCCCCTTCAAAGTGAAAACGGCTCTAAGAGGGATTTTTTGAAGAAAAGGGCTAGGATTTGGGAGAATCAATTATCAAAGTCACAAGTCTAAGAATTCTTTTTTAAGATACCATAAAGTATAAGCATGTCGTTTATTCATATGAGAAATAATAATGAAGCACAATCACGGCTGCAATCTAGCCGGAGTTCCCAAGTAGTAGAAGAGAGATGTACAAAGTTTTCTCTTACGATGACCTAGATTCATGTATATAATAAATAATAAAATCACTAGTTTTTTAAAAGAAAAAAGACAAAAGGGTTTCTTTGGAAATGGACCCTGTTGAAAATGGTGGGTGACGTGACAGTGGAGTTTTGAGAGATAACTTGCAAGCTGCATATACGATGTATTTCTCGAAGGTCAAGCCACGATGATCTCCAACATGACTTCATTTCACATACAATCATTATACTTCTTGATAAAAATATTCAAAATCATCATCCATCTATGATTGAGTGGTTGTGTTTTTGCCACGTGGTCTCATGATGTTGCACCATACGTGTGAACATATGTTTTTTCTTAATAGATAAATAAAATAAATAGATTAGAAAAGTTGAAAAACATCCCTTGAAAGAAATTCAAAAGAAAAAACCACCAGATCCAAACAGAAATATATGTAAATAAATTAAGAAATTTCTAGAAAGGAGCAAATAAATAGTCTTCTAGATGGGTGGTGTTGGCAACAAAAGTAGGAATGATTTCTTAATGTGATATTGGTTGAATAATATTTTCTCAATTTTTTTCAGAATAGAATAACCAAGTAGGTATGTAATCACCATAGCAAGAAGAAGAATACAAAGTAGAAATGATTTCTGAAGGTACATTTTTCTCTATAAAGTTATAAGTACATTGCTTTAGTAAACTAAGGCAGAAGACATTTGACAAGGTGTCCCATTAAACTAGAACTATTTTATTGTAACAGAATACCACTGTTTTGCTATTTCGACTAATAATATAATGACATATGAAAAAGTTATCTTGCGTGTTATTGCGTTATTGGTTGGGAATAACAAAAAGTGTTATTCCCGTTACATGAAAGCCCGTTACATGAAAGTCTCTCTCTGCTTTAACAAAGTGAAATGTCAGTCTCCTTGCATCTGAGTTCGCATTTATAATATCTTTGTAAATAAAATAGTAAAACTATATTCATCAGATCTTATCTTGAGGATTAGGAGAAACACACACCCCATCATCATTGGTATTTTTAACACATGTGATAGATAACCATACCCCAAGTTAATTGGTCAATTTATAACCCACCACAAATTCCACAAGCCGACCCTATTATCTTTAACCAATACCACACAGCCACGTCTGAGATTCCAACACTCCACGAAACCAAATTTTCATTCAAGTCATAGGAGGCTGCGCACGTGAGTGTTATCCAGACTTGCTGAGTTGCTTTGTTACGTTGAAACCCTGCCTTAATAATAAATCAAGCCTTAACCTATACCGTATATCTTAAGAGATTATTACGTGGTACTGGAATACTGACACATATTGTTATTAATTGACTCGTTATAACATGAATGGACAACATAATTACTATAAAATAGCTACAATATATTCATATTTACATAATAATATAAACAAATTCACACACGTCCTAACACGATAAACCTACTAATATAATATGAAGGTATTACTGTCTCACCGAAAAATTATTTCGTATATTAAATTATTTATGAAAAACGCCAGGTGGCACAAAATATCTAAAAGCATGCGGGTCATGTAAGTATCTCTACAAGAATCTTCTATACTTTCCATTTTTCCAATTTCATGAATCAAACCCCTGCATTTTTCTTCCGTCCTCTCCTTCCTAGAAACACCCAGGAGACCTCAAAAGTCTTTATCCGTACCTTATATATGCTTATGCAAGCCTAGGGAAAATTGGCCCTCACAATTCGTGCCCACCTCTGCCCACACTTTCTTAGACACACTTTTTTTTTGTACACATTGAACTTCAAAGGGTGATGGATGTGCTTGGTGAGAACCACATGAAGAGCCCCCCCAAGCAGAGCAAGAGAAGCAAATCAAAGGGTGTGAAGGTTGTGTACATATCAAGCCCTATGAAGGTGAAGACAAGTGCATCTAAGTTTAGGGCTCTTGTCCAGGAGCTTACTGGTAGAGACTCTGATGCTGAGCGTTTCATGGAGACCAAAGGTGCCCATTATCAAAATGTTCATGAGTTTACTCATGAGCAACAATTGAAGGGTGTGGATCATGATCATGGGTTGTTGCCTCAGCTTCCTTTCTCGAATTCGTTTTTTGAGTTTCCGAATTGCTCCGATGCTTTGTTCGAACCGTTTTCTGGGCATTTCGAGTTGGATGTGCTCAGAAACTTTGATCAAATTTGAATTTTATAGTTAGTAATATATTTGTAATTAGCCACATATATATATATATATATATATGTATACACATAATTTTCTTTTATTAATGCTAGTTTATATATGGTTTATCTAATCCCAGAGTTCAAATTTGTGCATGGCTTACTTTTTTATGTTTCTAAAGGGAATGCTTGCTGCAGCTGCCAAATGCAAGGAGGCAAAATTCAGTTGTGGCAGTTGCAATGTTTTTGTCAATCATACCAAGTGAAACTAACCTACCCAACTGAAAAAAAGAGAAAAAAAAAAAAGAAAAAAAGAAAAAGAAAAAGGAATGTACTTGCGAGTGAAAAGCGAAGCAGTATTTTAGACCCATAAAAAAAGAAAAAACAAAACCAATGTACTATCTACATATATAAGATCGACAGTCGACAGTGGTCAACTTTCATGTGAAAGCTTAATGAGACCATTTGTTCTGGCAAGAGATGCGTACTGTAACATTTTGATATTTGTTGAAATAAAAGTTAATTTGGTAAATAAATTTGATAAGATAAGTAGAATGTGATAAGCTAGTGGTTATGCAAGTTAGGAAAACATGCCTGTGTCTTTTAAGGGTTGTAGTGATTTTCACACTGCTCTTTTAGCCGTGTGCGCTCCAAACTGAATATTTTATAATTCTTTTCAGCACTTACGAGAGGAGTATATGAGACTAAAATTGAGTGCTGAAATCATTAGCCTAAATTTATCTCTGGAAGGGTGTAAGTTTATGTTGATGCCCAAAATCGGATCAACAGGTCATAATCTTATGTGGTTCACCCAATTCAATATGACTTTCGTCCAGGGTTGAAGATTATTCGCATTTAGGTATTAGCAAAACCAAATTGATCTTGATCAAGTTGGAATTAAAAGTTAATGCATCAACAAACGACATCCTACGGTTACTGCACCATGCGTAAAACTTGTGGAAAGCTCAAATAAGGTATTCTACGAGGCAAAAGAAGAAAGTGGAATGAAAATGAACTCCTTTATCATGTCTTTGCACATTGCAGGTACATCCTGTCCATGACTAACATGATTCAAGAATACAGCTCATCCCGAAACAATTAGTTTAGATTCAATAAAGCTTGAAAATCAATATGTAAATATACGTACATACGCGTTCATACACATTAGTAGGATCCCTATTACCAGTATATAGGTTGAACAGGCTCATCTAAGCATCCACCAAATTCATTAGAACTACACTAAAATAACATCGCATATTCCTCAATCTATTTCAACGACAGACCACCTTAAAGAAAGGGAAAGTTGTCTAGCAAGATGTTACAAAAGTGTGTAATATATGCAGGAAGGAAATAACATCAATTCAAGAAGTCATAAAACCAGTAATCAGGGCATTACATCCATGCCATTGCAAATTCGAAATTTAAAAACATCCAAAACCACACAAGTCAGAGTGTATATCTCTTCTTGTGTCTACCAAGGATGATGTCTGCTTTTGACTTATCTATTTTCATATGTACAAATGCAAAGATGTCTGCTTTAGGCTGGATGCATAGTGCAGATGGTTGTACATATCCGTAGACACGCAATAAGAATGCAGCTACGCTTCCAAAGGCGACCTATGTTGCCTTAACCCAACTTCCCCCTCCTCCATGAAGATAATTCAAGTCACATGAACCCTACCACTACAGCATCTCCAAGCTACTCAATGCAGATAAGAATCCTTGGAGCCTCACCTTGTCCATGCCACAGGGCCAAGTAGATAGCCTTGTGAAATTAGAAGCTCATGGCCCCACAGAAAAGCAATACTACCTATCAAGAGCAAGTCTCCAGCTGATGACTCAGTCACCTTTATTTTAGCTTCAAGACCTTACATGTTCTGATTCAAAATCTTATTAGCATTTTCCAAATTCTGAGCATTGAATGGAAAATCCTCTCCATACAGAAACTTCTCCAAATCCATTCTAGACAACTTTAATAAGCGTAGACATGTAGTCTACTGATAAGTGTGGACAGCAATACTTGAAGAACGTGACAAATTCAAAGAAAGACATAAGAATACATGCACCTCCAATTGATATGCAAGGCAAAGAATTCAGTGTCTGCAAATTAGGGCAAAGTCACAATCTGCATCATAAGCAATAAAGGCACATATTTTCAAATAAGGAACAAAACATGTTTATAACACGTTACTGAATCATGACAAGGTGACTTCCACTGTAAGAAGTATTACAAGGTGCCAACCATTTTAATAAAGAGGTGCAGATATACCCGCTGTTATATTTCTCAACTGATTACATAAGTTGTTGTCTGCGCTAAACGTATGCGATCTTAGGAAAAAGAAAAGATCATTGCAATGAGACTCAACCTTCAGATTGTCTATTGGCCACGGGAATCAAATCCAGAATTGGGTAAAAGCATTGCAAGTCACCTTTTCATTTTCTTGGCAGTGACATTGCACATGTTTACACTTCTGAAATAGGCCTGTACTGACTAGTAACATCTGGAAAATCAGATTCAGGCACTCATATCCTCATGGCTTGGAGCACTAAATGAATCTAAATGGCATGCATGCCAAGATGTCTAAAACAAAAAAATGAAGTCATACCACAAAACTAACATTCTCTTGAGATCAGCAAACCTCCAGCAGCTTACCGAATAGATTCATCCCGAAAGATACCAATTTCCAAATCACCCTTCATTACACATCCCATCAAACCCGGGTTTTTAAACTTAAAAAACCCAATCAACAGCCACAAGCACTGAATATATTGTGTTCCTCACCATTAAATTCTCATCAGAAAAGGCTCACACCCAGAGCTTTAATGCCTTATTGATCTGGTCCCCTACAAATCAACCAAGTGGAGGACATTATTAACAAAGCCAGGAGTAAAGCACTGACAACCGTTGATATCTCATAATTTGATTGAACCACAATGGATGCAAGATATGTGTAATGCAATGAACTTTGAGGCTAACCAAACTCAAGAACACAAAATGCAAGAGATTGGTGACGCCAAAGGGAGCAGGCCAATTCAAGCAGGTATTCTAATAAGAAAGTACATATAAATTAAAGCAGCTAGGCCAACCCAACCAGGTCTTCTAATAACAAAGTACACATAAATGTAATCAGCTAGAAATTGAGTATGCGACCAAACAATAAATTTTCTTATGGGCAACCTTATAATATTGTGCAGAAGCAATCTGATACACGTGAGTGATGAAGCATCAACGTATCAAAATCATACATCCTCGATTTCAACTTTCCCTTGGTACACATTCCACAACTGAGGTATTTCATTTTGATATTTGGTCACAAACCTCTCCACGAAGAGCTTCTCGTCAGGTTGAATCACATATCCCAAAGTCAAGTTTTCATCTATCAAACCTTTCAACCACAAAACCTTAACAACCAAACACCTTGGGATTATTCTCTTCTCCAAACTGTGACGCGTAACCCACGGGTATTTGGCAATCATCGCTGACGGCCATCCCATCTTGTTCACTAAAAATTCCATTACTCGCATTATTTTCTTCTCCGACATAATCATAAACTCCGGATTTTTCCTGAAAGCAGAAAGAACATCATTCTCAGACCAACCCCACCTCATATAAACTTCACGACTGCGTTTCCATATTGACTTACTGTTCTTACCACACAATGCGTTTAGTGCAAACACAAAATTCGAACTTTCCAGATTAAATCCCATTTCCTTAACCTCACCCACAACTTCACCAAACTTGTTATGCTCGTGCATCACAACATGAACGTAATGAGATAGTAACACAGAAATGGAAGATTGAGGCATACCCAGTTCTCTCAAAAGCCCAATATTTAGCACCACATCGTTGCAGTGATTGCCCAAGAAAACCCGCGACCGGCGCTTGAAAACAGTAACAATATTTTTCTCAGAAATCATACTCCTAAGGAAATTATAAGTGGGTTCAATCCGTTCCCTCAAGCTTACTGTCAAGAGCAATGGATTAGCGGCCACAGATCTTGCAAGGTCCTCCCTTGAAACTCCGACAGAGCTGAAAAACTGAAGCTTGGGCGAAAGGGTTTTCTCGGGACAGGATGAAAGAACTCTTGGGCAACACTTGACAACCTTTGAGATTTGGGGTTGAGAGAGGCCATGGCTTCTCAGAAGGGCCAAAACAGAGTCTGCTCTGTCTGGGGATATCAACTTGACCATCTTGGACGCTGAAATTGCATCTTCTGAGGACAACCCACATGAGTTTATGAGGTAAGTGACTGTGAAATCGTTTTGGGTTGGTGAGATTTCGGTGGTGATGTATCTGTAAAGAAACTGAGGATGAAGAGTGAAATGCGAGGGTTTTAGGTCTCCAACCACAAAGCTTCTAGTTTTGGAAGCAAATGTGCAAGAAAATAATGAACAACCCAATCTGAGGTTCTTCAATTTGAAGAGCAGAACCATGATAGATGTGCCCCTGTAAAACGATGAAGAAGATGAACAATTTGTTTTCTAAAATCCTAGCGGGTCTTCGGTCCAAAGGGTTTATTTTAACTTTTTGAACGAGAAGGGTTTTTTTTATCTAAAACAGGGGTTCAAAGGGTTTTAACCAAAACCGTGACCTCAACCGCAGTAAACGTCATTCTTTGGGTTTTAAATCACGCGCTCTTAGAGCAACTCCACCCATTTGCCCTTAGCCATGGCAAGGGGGGAGCTAGGGCAGCCACTATTCCCGTGAATAGGGATT